TGAATGGCACAACTCACACAATAATGCAGCTTCACATACAGCTTGGGAAGCACATAACCGTCGAAGACACTCGCTTCGGAAATGTCCCTGACGGCGGCGGCCTCCACTATGTTCCGAATGACAAACTTCTTAATAGCCTTATCCTTGGGTACGCACCGGGCGCAGTTCGTGCAGCAAATAGGCTGCACATGACCACGGCCCTTTTTGGCACGACCGTTGTTCCTTCTTTTTTTTGTCATCTTGGAAAAGAGGACCCGAAAGAGGTACATGTATTTAAAGAAGGGAAGAAAGAAAGAAAACTGATGAAATGAGGGAGATTACTGTTTATAGTCCTTTGGGACATTATGATTACCCTTGTTTACAAGTAAGAAAACAATTCGGACTGTTTATTGCAGCCTTCATCCAGTAAAACCTATTTCCTGTACTTTAGTTTTTTATTTGTAAATGATTAATATTAAAATAATTACATTTTAAGTAGATTTCCTTCTTACATATTTTAATCTTCTGAATCTTTAAAACCTAAGGGAAAAATTGTGTTTGCTTATTTGTATAGACCTGTGCTGTCCAAAACCACAAGCCATGGGGGACTGTTTTGTACTTGACACGTGGCTAGTTCAAATTAAGATGTCCTTTAGGTATGAAAGTCTCATGAGATTTTAGACTTAGCATAGGAAAGTACCAAATATTGCATGAATTACTGCTTCATACTGATGACATGTTGAAATGATAATCAGTTTGTTTGATATTAAATAAGCTGTTTTGACTAATTTTACAGTTTTTACAGCTTTATGTCATTGCTAGAATATTTAAAATTGTGTATGGAGCTCATATTTTTTCAGATGACTTGTCATGTAGGCTGGAAGGAGAGTCAGGTTCAGATACTGAGAGTACGGCCTTGCCTTCTGTGTGACCTTGAGCATGTCCTCACAGCAGCACCGTCTGCCCACAGGGCTTCTGATCTTCTGGGGCAGTCTGGTCTGCTCTTGGATTCTCAGTGGCTTCTGGTTCTCTAGTAGGTTAGAGTGCTGGGCAGCCTTCTAGTCTTTCCTTCTCTGCGTTTTGAGGGGTTTCTGCCAGGTAGGCTTTGGTGTAGTAGCGTGGCCCGTGTTTCCCCCCAGGTCCTCGTGCCTCAGCTAGTACTCAGTGAACTTTGCCCCATGGGACTACAAGGTTCCACTAAGGTCTGCTTTTCTTGGGTTGCTCTAGGCCTTGCTAGCATCTTTTTCCCAAGCACACACGTGTGGTTTCCGTACTATTCTCAAGGACCTGCTGAGATACTGGGCCCTATGCTAGCATCCAGAGAGAGATAGAGTAGCGGGAATTAGGGCAGTCCCGTATGAGGTGCTTTTCTAATTCACTTCACATATGAATACCTTTACTTCTGGTACTACCTCACTGTAAGGTGGATGCTCTCACCTGCTGCTTCATGGCTGAGAAGTCTTAACACCAGAGAGAGGAATGAATAGTTCTAAAGACATACAACTAGCAAGGGGCAGAACTAGGATCCCATCTCAGGGAGTGTGGCTTCAGAGTACATCCCCTCGACTGATTAGCTATCCTGCTTTTCAGTTGTATGTAGATTTCCAGTGCTCAGAATATCTGTGAGGTAAGTCATATGCTCATCTTTCACAGTTGAGGAACTATACCAAAACATTATATCAATAATAAGCTTAAGTTTGTAAGCGTGGTAAATAACTGAGGTCCAGATTTGGACATTTTGTACTGAAAATACTGTGTTCTAAGCTGGGTATGGTTGCACATGCCCGTAATCCCAACACTTGGAAGGCTGAGGCAGCAAGATTGTTGACACTTCCCCTCGCCTGCGGGCTGGGGGGGGCGCGCTGATGCAGCATGTGGTGCCAGGGATTGAATCTTGGCCCATGCACTTGCCTATGCAGGTGCTTTAGAACATTGAGCTATCTCACCAGCCCTGAGGCAGAAGATTGTTGCGAGTTACAGACCAGCCTGGGGTACCAGGTGAGCTCAAGGCCACCCTAAACTGCATAGGGAGACCCTGTCTCAAAAAAAAAAACAACAAAAAAAAAGATGTTCTTTCAAAACTTTATTAAAAAAAAAAAAGGGCCGGGGAGATGACTCAGTAGAATAAGCGCTTGCCTGGCAAGTGCAATGGCCTGAGTTCAATACCTGGTTCCACCAAAAAAAAAAAACAACAAAAAAAAACAAAAAACCCCAAAACAACTTTATTACATTTGTCATTATAGTTTTGAAGGTATAATTGTCATTTTATATATTTTCACAATATTCATAAAGTGCTTATCACCATGCTAATCATAGAGGTGCTTGATGCACAGGATTGATTTCATGTACAACGTGCACTGCAAACTGTTGTAAAGTCTATTTGTGGATGATGTGAATGTTACTCACAGTGGAGTATCTCCTTCTCTGCTTGGTTGTGGTGTTTTACTGTATGGAGCGCATCTCATGTTTTGAACACACTTCTGTGTTTCAGGTACTACGAAGCATTTCCACCGCTTTCTGAGAAACCAGTTTGCCTGCAAGAAATCATGACCGTGTGGAACAAGTCCAAGGCCTGCTCTTACTCCAGCTCCTCTTCGTCATCTACGGCACCCCCAGCAAGCACAGATACGTCCTCTCCCAAGGACTGCAACAGTGAGAGTGAGGTCGTCAAGGATAGAAGCGCCGTGCATGATAAAGCCCAGAGCAGAAGCAGACAGGAGAAGGAGAACAAACTGAGTAACGGCACTGCGGAAGAGAAGCCTGTCTTGTACAAAAAGCAGGTCCGACACAAGCTGGAAGGGAAGATCCGCCCTCGCTCCTGGTCTTCTGGCTCTAGTGAAGGAGGCTCAAGTTCAAGTGGTAACCAGGGAGAAGTCAAAGCATCCATGAAGTATGTTAAAGTCAGACACAAGGTGCGAGACATTCGAAACAAGAAAGGGCGCAATGGGCAAAGCAGGCTGTCCCTGAAGCATGGGGAGAAGGTGGAGAGAAGTGTGCATGTGAATAGCAGCAGCAGCAGCAGCAGCAGCAGCAGCGGGTCCATCAGGCAGCTGTGCAAGCGGGGTAAGCGGCCAGTGAAGGAGGCAGGGAGAAAAGATCCTGGGAGCACTGGAGGAAAAGAGCTATATGCAGAGAGCAGAAGCAACAGGGAATATAAAGAGGAGCCGTTGTGGTACACTGAACCGATTGCTGAGTATTTTGTTCCTTTGAGCAGAAAAAGCAAACTAGAGACCACATACCAAAACAGACAAGACGCGAGTGCTCTGACGCCAGAGGCAGTGGAAGACTTGTCTGAGTCAGTGCACGGTCTTTGTATCAGCAACAGTAATACTCACAAAACATACCTCGCAGCAGGTACTTTCATTGATGGTCATTTTGTAGAAATGCCTGCAGTTATAAATGAGGATATTGACCTCACTGGGACCTCATTATGTTCTCTGCCAGAGGACAACAAATACTTGGATGATATTCATCTGTCAGAATTAACACACTTCTACGAAGTGGATATTGATCAATCCATGTTGGATCCTGGTGCCTCAGAAACAATGCAAGGGGAAAGTCGGATCTTGAATATGATTCGACAAAAAAGCAAAGAGAATACAGATTTTGAGGCAGAATGTTGCATAGTGTTAGATGGTATGGAGTTGCAAGGGGAACGTGCAATATGGACAGATTCTACCAGCTCTGTGGGTGCGGAGGGCTTGTTCCTGCAAGACCTTGGCAATCTGGCTCAGTTTTGGGAGTGCTGTTCGTCTAGCTCTGGTGATGCAGATGGAGAGAGCTTTGGAGGAGACTCTCCAGTAAGACACTCTCCGATCTTGGACAGCACAATGCTCAATTCACACTTGCTTGCTAGCAATCAAGAGCTCTTTTCAGATATTAATGAAGGATCTGGTATAAACTCTTGTTTTTCAGTGTTTGAAGTGCAATGCAGTAATTCTGTTTTACCATTTTCTTTTGAAACACTCAACTTGGGAAATGAAAATACAGATTCTAGTGCTAATACATTTGGGAAAACACAATCTAGATTGCTAATATGGACCAAAAATAGTGCCTTTGAAGAAAATGAACACTGTTCTAATCTTTCAACAAGAACTTGTAGTCCGTGGTCCCATTCAGAAGAAACACGTTCAGACAACGAGATGTTGAACATTCAGTTTGAAGAATCCACACAATTTAATGCAGATGATATTAATTATGTAGTTCCTCGAGTCTCGTCAAATTACGTAGATGAAGAACTTCTAGATTTTTTGCAAGATGAAACTTGCCAGCAAAACAGTAGAACTTTAGGAGAAATTCCAACTTTAGTTTTCAAGAAAAGATCTAAACTAGAATCTGTCTGTGGTATTCAGCTAGAACAAAAAACAGAAAACAAAAACTTTGAAACTACACAACTATGTAGTGAAAGCAGTCCACATGGAGATGGCTACAGCTCAGGGGTTATTAAAGACATTTGGACAAAGACGGCAGATAGAAATTCTGTGGCTACAGTAGAAATAGAAAGAATTGACGATGAGTTGTTTTCAATAGATGTAAATAACTACTGCTGCTGTTTAGATGCTGATGCAAAAATGGATGCCCTCCAGGAGCCCAGTAGGGCAGTGCAGAGATCCGAGTATCACCTCTGGGAGGGACAGAAAGCAAACCTGGAGAAGAGAGCTTTTGCCTCCAGCGAGCTCTCTAAGGTGGATGGTGGTGATTACACCACACCCTCGAAACCTTGGGATGTGGCCCAGGATAAAGAGAATGCATTCATTCTTGGAGGAGTCTATGGAGAACTCAAAACCTTCAGCAGTGATAGGGAATGGGCAGTTGTGCCACCAGGCCACACAAAAGGAAGCTTGCTACAGTGTGCAGCTTCCGACGTTGTGACCATAGCTGGGACAGATGTCTTCATGACTCCAGGAAACAGCTTTGCCCCTGGTCACAGGCAGTTGTGGAAACCCTTCGTATCATTTGAACAGAATGATCAGCCGAAGAGTGGGGAAAATGGATTAAATAAGGGATTTTCTTTTATCTTCCATGAAGACTTACTAGGAGCTTGTGGTAACTTTCAAGTTGAAGATCCTGGACTTGAATATTCATTTTCTTCCTTTGACTTAAGTAATCCATTTTCACAAGTTCTTCATGTAGAATGTTCATTTGAACCTGAAGGGATTGCATCTTTCAGCCCTACTTTTAAGCCCAAATCAATCCTCTGCTCTGATTCAGACAGTGAAGTATTTCACCCTAGGATATGTGGTGGTGACAGGACACAATATAGAGCCATCCGGATCTCTCCCAGGACTCACTTCCGCCCGATCTCTGCATCGGAACTGTCCCCAGGAGGAGGAAGCGAATCAGAGTTTGAGTCTGAGAAAGATGAAGCCAGTGTTCCCATTCCTCCTCAGGTTGAAGTATTTGAAGATCCACAGGCAGATCTCAAACCTCTAGAAGAAGATGCAGAAAAAGAAGGCCATTACTATGGAAAATCAGAGCTTGAATCTGGGAAATTCCTTCCTAGATTAAAAAAATCTGGAATGGAAAAAAGCGCTCAAACATCACTAGATTCCCAGGAGGAGTCAACTGGGATTCTGCCAGTTGGAAAGCAAAATCAGTGTTTGGAATGTAGCATGAGTGAATCTCTGGAAATAGATTTAGAAAGCTCAGAAGCAAATTGTAAAATAATGGCACAGTGTGAGGAAGAAATTAATAATTTTTGCAGTTGCAAAGCAGGTTGTCAGTTCCCTGCTTATGAAGATAATTCAGTTTCTTCGGGACAGCTAGAAGAGGTATGTTTCTATGTGTGTTGGTATTTGACAAAGAATTTTATCTGAGGGGCTGGGGAGATGGCTCAGTGGAATAAGTGCTTCCCTGGCAAGCACAAGGGCCTGAGTTCAATCCCTGGTTCTGCAAAAAAAAAAAAAAAAAAAAAAGAATTTTATCTGACTTTTCAAGAAGAGAATGGAAGGAGGGGTTAAACTATGGAGAAATTAGCTTCAAAGTCTAATGGTTTATCATTCTTAGGATTTTATATTTATGGACTTAAGACAACCTATTTATGAATTTGAACTAGTACACATTTAATAACAAATGACACGTTTTAGGATTCTTATGTGTTGGTGTTAATGCATGGTGTACAAAACAAAAAATTTGTGCAAGCATTTTGGCTTTCAAAGTCCATGAGCCAGCGTGTGGCTCTAGTGAGGCTTCTTCAGGTAGCAAGCCTACCCAGCTGTCTCTTCAATGGTAATCAGTTTTGTTAAAGTTTATGTTTTATGTGTAAAATAAATTATATCTAGGGCTGGGAATATAACTCAGGCATAAAGCCTAAGAGGCATAAAGCACCTACCTGGCAAGTACAGCGTCCTGAGTTTGATCCCTGGCCCCACATGCCATGCTGGCCTTGGAAACAGGCATAGTAGCACATGCCTAAAATCCTAGCACTTGGGGACATTGAGACCTAAGCATTGCTGTGAGTTCCAGCCCAGCCTGGGGACTACAGAAATGAGCACAAGGCCAGCCAGAACTGCATAGCGAGACCCTGTCTCCAAAAAAAACAAACAAACAAAAAAAATTATATATTTATTTATTTTCAGTATTTTTGAGAATGCTGAGAATGCCCAGGATTTTGGAGAAGTAACTTAAGAGAGTGCATGTGAAAATGGACCTGCAGTTCAGATGTAGCACAATATTTTCTACAGAACCTTAGTAGAAGTAGCTTGCTTTATACAAAGTATATTCTGAAAGGTCTGAATTCTGTAGAGTCTGTTAAGTCAGAGCAGCATGGCCTTTGGTTATGTTCCTAAGAAGTAGTTTCAGGTGAAATTGATTGTACCAGAACTAACACCAGCACTTAAGGCAGTAGCCCGTTTCCTAAAAAGCATTGCAGTCTGCCCACTCCGCAGCATTATTTGACAAAGCTGTGCCTGGCCTTTCACCAGTAGCAGCTTGCTGGGCAGAGTTGGAGCCTTCTCGAGTTCCCCCTGTAGCACAAGACTTTCCACGCACCACCACCTTCACTGACACTTTCTCCTTACTCCACTCTGACTCCTCAGAATTAATTCCTTCATTCTCTTCATTTTTCTGTTTGATGCCTCTTTATTGCATTTTCCATGTTATGTGTGCCGTGTGGTTATCCGCTTCTCATGACTATGGCCCATGCCTTACTCAGTGCCCAGGTGTCCAGTTGCTTGCCTGCAGCTTAGGGGCCCTGGTAACTCCAGTCATTGCCTCAAGGAGCCCATAGGGGGTGATTGTAGTCCCTTTATAACACTGAAATATGCATTGTGAGCAAAACCCAGTAATGTTGGTAGCCTTTATCTGTTATTTATTGCCCCCCTTCTCCTCCTTAAATAGTCCTTTATGTACTTTATTTCACCTGGTTCCAGATTGGGAAGAAAGAAAAAGAGGAAAGAAGCAAGAGTCTGCATCATATCACTACCATATTCCTTCGCTTTCTAGTATGTTGATGTATTTACATGTTATCAGAATCCTGGGTTTTCCTGGAAGGCCTTAGCTTCCAGAAGACATTTCTGGGTGTCTGGGAGTCAGATGTTGGGGTACCCTGGTCTCAGCAGCAGCTCTGTGTTGTGGCACTGGGTCGAGGAGCTGGACAGAGTAACCTTGAAGAAGCTGTTTTGGACTAGGCCAGGACTAGGTGCTGTGCCCTCCCCTGTCCCTTTGTCTGGTTGTCCTGCACAGCTTCTTGAAGGACAATCCTTCCCTTTTCTCAGGTGAAGCCATTCTTTTCAAGGCCTCATTTGAAGGCACCCACACCCAGTCTTTTCCAGAGCAAGCAGGAGTGCTCTAACAGTCTAGTAGGTTTGCCATCAAAACTGCTCTCTGGGGGCTGGGGAGATGGCTCAGTAGAATAAGCACTTGTCTGGCAAGTGCAAGGTCCTGAGTTCAGTCCTCAGTACAAAAAAAAAAAAAAAAAAGTAACTGCTGTCTGGGATTTTCCAAAAAAGTTAAGTCAATTCAGTGGACATTTATTGAATACTTGTTCCAAATACAGGAACTCTAATGCACAAGATTTTGTTCTTGCCTATGACAAATTCATTGTAGGCAAGAAAACCAATTTTGGGCCAGCGAGATAGCAGATTAAAGGGTCTACTGAGGCAGATGCAGGGACTGGGTTCAGTCCCTGGCCTGCCCTGCCCTGCCCTGCCCTGCCCCGCCCCCCCCGCCCCGCCCCTAGGGCGGGCGCTTGTGCTGAGTTGGAGATTGAGATTGGGTGTGGTGGTGAGCACCTGTAATCCTAGCGCTTGGAAGACTGAAAACAGGAGCATCACTACAAGTCCATTCTGTTTAGTGAGACCTTGTAGACCCTGTACTAAATACATTTAAAAAATAAAAATAAAAACCAATTTGTAAATTGTTTCTTTTAACTGAGAAGTTCAAAGAAAGGTGTATACAATGTCAGGCCCCATCACCAAGAGCCACCATTAGTGTGAATTGTGGGCCCTCCCAGCATAGGTACTTCATGGAAAAGTAAATTATATCACATATATTTCTTCCTGTTCTTCCTTTTTAACTGAAACAGCATTTTACCACAGTTTCCCTTTTTTATGTTCTACATGCTCCACTATATTGTTACATTATAATTTAAGTGGTCGGTTCCTTGTCTTCCAGGGTCTTAGAGACAGCTCCATTTTAGGCAGTGTGGTAAGTGGGACAGAGGAGGGAGAGCCCAGAGCCCGGAGGCTGGGGCCATGGTGCGCCAGGTGGAGGGATGCGGGCATGGGTCCTCATGTGCTCTCAGTGTAGGTCCGAGTAGGAGTAGCCCAGAGGAAGTAGTGAGCTGCAGGTGTCTGTTGGTTCTGAGTTTGGATCGAAAGTGTCTCCTGCACAGTCCACCCATGACAGTGCTTTGTCACCATGTCCCACTGAATACCCTTGTGGATTCATTTCCCCATCTGAAGGCCATGTGGGCTTGGAGGTTGGGAGGCTTGCCCAGGTCTGGTCAGAAGGGACAGCCTGAGCTCAAGGTGAGCAGGAAGCAAAGGCAGGCCCCTTGGCACTGCCCAGATCTCTGTGCACTTGCATCTCCTCTTTCTGAGAGGCCTATCGGCTTCCTTTTCCATTTGCAACCCAAATGACTGGAACTGCCTGGAGCAGAGGGCCACTGGTCCTCTCCAGCCGAACCAGGGTGTTTAGTGAGCATGTGTATGGGCCTCTGAAGCCTTTGTTTGCTTTCCCAGACTCTGTACCACCGAGGACGATATCTGTTGCTAAAACATCAGGGCTTTTCGATTGTATCTTTTTTCTTTGACCAATTTATGCAGTCATTGAATGGGTACACTGAGTGTTTGCTGTGCCAGATGCGAACCTAGGTGCTTGGGATGAACGGTCACATTGGTGGAACAGCCTGCACCCTCGGGGAACTGACAGCAAGCACATGAAGTTGTAGGCTGTGTTGGAATATAGAAGTGCTCTCCGCATAAGAGCTAGGCCAGGCATGTGGCAGTGGGGAGTGCCGGGGGCGCTAGCCCTGTCAGATAAGGCTGGTGAGGCTCTGCCAGAGCTGCCGTAGGAGTGGTGCTGAGCTGAGGTTGAGCAGCCAGCCACACTGCTGTGCGCCGCCTCAAGGCAGTCCATCCTGTTCTCTTCCACTCTGCCTCTAGTTTACTCTGGATTTTTTGTTTTGTTTTGTTTTCTGTGGTAGTTTTTGTTTGCATTCTTTTCTACCACAAGCAAACCAGAAGCTGAGTTAATGCATTAGGCAGACCTTAAGTGAGTGAAAAGTAGTCATGTCATCCCTGCCATGTGACCTAAAAGTTGAAATAGCTGAGTAGAAAGATGCCCTCAAAGGATGTGTACACACTGCCTGTATTCACTGTAGCAGGAAACAGAAGGCCTTGCTCCTTGCTGTAGAGGTCGACTCTGATGGAGAATGCAGAAATGGCTTCGGCAGGAGAGGGGAGTGAGGTGCTCGGCAGTCAGACTGGCCCAGACGGTTTCCTCAGGCCCCAGATGCTGGTCGGTTTCTGGCAGTGCTTAGCAGAGTGAGATAAGCAGGACAGTTTCTTGCCCTTAAGAAACATCCATGTGATCGCGTGGCATCAGATGCATCTTGGTAGGTGCCTCCAGCCCGCTCTCATCACCATACTGAGTCCTGCAGAGGAGTGCTCTCCCTCTTTTGCCTTCACCCCTTTACTGTTCAAGGAAGAACGAAAAGCAGCATAATTAACTCACTAAGGAAGCTGATAGACAAGAAGTCAGGGAGGAACTTCGGCCTCCAGAATAATCTCTCTCCCTGAGTGCCGTAGGATGAAGAGGATGGTTCTGCCCTGGGGATTCTCCCTGGTGGCCTGGCTAGCTGCCAGTCATCGCACAGAGCAGTTCCAGGCTTTCTGAAAGGGCCTCGGGTGCCATCCATGCCCCAGCTGAGTCAGCCTCGTTTGCATGCAGCCACCCCTGAGGTTCCCTGGGCCTTTGATAGCTGTTTCCGTGAGTGCAGCGGTACTCATTTTTCTTGTTAGGCTAAGTTGCAGGAGGAAAGTAGTGATGGTTCACGGATCACACTGGGTAGGCAGTACAGCTCCTCAGTTTCTAATTAGGAGTGTTTCTGAAAAGTTATACTAAGCGAAAATGGAAATTTGCAATGTGTTTCCCATTTAGTTACATGATAAAGAGCATGTTACTGAACCAACAGTTTTATTTATTTTTATGAACCAAGCAATTTTAAACACATAAAACATTTTGTCCTTAAAAGCATAACAGGGGCTGGCCTGATAGCTCAGCAGACTAAAGCGCCTGTTTAGGCAGAGCACAGTGGCCAGGATTCCATCCCCAGCGTACTGTGCTGGCCCCACCCACAGGGTGAGCTGAGACAGCATTGAGACTGGACGTCATAGTGTGCCTGTAGTCCCTGCACTTGGGAGGCTGAACACAGGAGGATCACTACTAGTCCGATCTAGGTAGTGAGGTCCTGAACACCCTTTAGACCCTGTCCTAAATACAAAGAAAAAAAAGCATAAAATCTTAATCATGAAATAATGGGTGGGGGATATAGCTCAGTGGCAAGCACAAGGCCTGAGTTATTCCCGGTATGCATGTGTATATATATCTTTAACTCATTAAAATTAGATCACTGATTGGATTCTTTAAGTTACTAAAATGACTCTACTTTTAAACTCGGACCCATGAAGACATTTCTAAGAGCAGTTTACAGGTCTCTCCATTTCAAGCACAATACAGTTCTGGCAACTACTGAGATGTTGCTGGGCCTCACCTTGGGGAGCAGATTGGCACCCTGCCATCCAGGTATAACAAGAGGAGGTGTGAGGAAGGGGGTTGTCCTGCCAACCTGGGTTCCAGGTACCACCTGGACTTGTGGCCAGCCTGCCTTGTGACTTGATAGCGCTGACTCAGACGTGCTCCCTCCCATGTGACCACTGCCCTCCATGCTACTGTGGCATGGGAGCAGGGGGGTACAAGCCTTCCTGCTCTGCAGTCCTTCCTTCATTTGCTGTGCGTCACTGTGTTCTGTTTTAACTGAAGTTATTAAGTCCACATAGTGTTTGTGTGTTTCAATTCAGCTTCCTTGTAGTTGTCTTCTGAGCAGATGATTTTGTTAGGAAGACATTCAGTTTGATCACTGCTTATGAGAATTTTCTTTTTATTTTATTTATTTATTTATTTATTTATTTCCAGAAACACTCCCTGTCTTGTCAGGCTAAATGAGAAGAGGTCCCTTTCTTCCCTGTCAGGCACCTGAGATTCAGGCCACTGAGTTACAGTCTGCATGCACGTTGCAAATCTAGACATTTGTCATCATTTAACAATATTTTCTCTTATGCTATCCCTTTTTTTTTGTATCAATTTTCTCTGTGCAATAGTACTATTAAGGTTTTAGTTCCATTTTGAATTTGGTGCCTTTTTTTTTTTTCTCCTTTAGAGGCAGGGTCTCATTATGTAGCTTAGGCTCATCTTGATGTCACTGTGTCGGCCAAGCTACCCTCCAACTCACGGTGATCCTCTCGCTTCAACCTGATGAGATGATAGAGGTGTGCCACAACAAAATAGGTGCTTTTAACAAAACGCCCAGCCAGGTATGATGGTGCACCCTTTTAATCCCAGCACTCTGGAGGCTGAGGCAGCAGGATCATTGGAAGTTTGAGACCAGCTGGGGCTACCAAGTGAGCTCGAGTGAACTACATAGTGAGACCCCCATCTCAAAAAGACAATAAGTAAATACATAAGTAACAACTTGAGTTGATAGTAAGTAGTTCTCGTGGAATATTACTCTACCCTGAAAGTTTACAAATGTCTTCTATATTTGGTTTTAATCTAAATAGTTTCCTGGATTGAACACTGATGTACAAGAAATGAGTAGAAGTCAAGAAAAGCAGACCTGGTGGGAAAAAGCCTTGTACTCTCCCCTTTTTCCTGCATTGGAATGTGAAGGTAAGACCTGTGTCCATCATTAATTCATTCAGACTTCTGTTTCATTAAGCGCAGTAAGTCCTCAGAAATGTCAGCCCAGGACTACTTAGGAAGAGTTTCCTTGTGGTCAGCACACACAGGAACACAGAAGCAAATGAGAATTGGACCCTGCTCTTAAAGTCACCCATGGACTGAGAGGGGGAAACGTGTGGAAACCAGCAAAGCGTGAGCCTCCTTTGGTGAGAGATGTCCCAGCTGCAAGGAGGCCAGACGATCTGTGGCATCTGAAGAAGCAGGAAGCCAAGGGACTCTGCAGGGTTGTAGCTGAGTCCATAAAGGTGGCTGAGGGGATCCTGTCAGGAGGGTGGAGAGCTTGGCTACATTCAAAGCCTTCAGTGTACAGGGAGAGGTAGCTGTGAAGGGTTTTGGTATGGCAGCGTCAGGCTTGGGTACACTCTGCTGAGAATGCTTCTGGCTGTGGTAGAGACGGCATGACAAGGCTTCTAGGCATCTGATGGGTCTCCCACAGTGGTTTAGTGAGGTGAGAGCCGTGACTGTAGACACCAAGGGCTGGGGAGACTGGCGAGGACACTGGGAATAGGAGTTGCCTTGCAGGAGGATTCTGAGTGAGGGGCTGGGGAGACAGTAGAATAAGTGCCTGCCTGGCAAGCACAAGGGCCTGAGTTCAATCCCCAGTAACACACACACACGCATGCACACGCACGCACACACATGGACGATTCTGAGCACCTGCAGAAGCTGTAGGAATCTTGACCAGCAGTGCTGGGAGAAACAGGGCCAGGAGACGACCTTGCTGGGTGGGTTCAGGCAGGCTGGCTTATCTGGCTTGTGACCCCTGGGCTTCCAGGGCATGTTGTGTATGGGGCAGTCAGTCCTCGCTGTCACAGCCCAGCATTACGGCAGTCTTCTGTGCATGTTTATGCATTCACATCCAGCGTCCCTCCAGCTGGATTGCAGTTAACTTGCAGCCAGTGGCTGGCTTCCTTAGCCAACGTGGTACACACATGGCCTGCCGGAATTGGCTGCTGGACTTCTCCTGGGAAGTTTTTCCTCTGTGCAGTAGCCACAGAGGGCTGCTTCTCATGTCCTGTTGTCCTTTCCAGAGGTTTAGTGTGGCCATGGGAGGTGGAAATCTGAGTCTTACTTGGCATCTCTTTCTTCATGGTTGGTGCTCATTCACATTAGTTAGTCCCAGGGCAGCCCTTTGCTGCCTGGAAGCTGCTCCCCTTTGGCCCCTGCAGGGACGGATAAGGTGCTGCTGCTTTTCAGTGGAAGAAGCAGTGTTGCAAGGTTAGTGTTTTACCCAAGTCCTGCAGTACAGCTGTTGGATCGGGGATGTGTGCTGGAAGTTTTGCCCTGTGCACAGTGGTCTGCACTGGTGCCGGGAGCCATCCGGGCTCTAGTAGCATGGACCTTCCCTCCATGAGTGCCAGAGACAAAGGTGCAGCTAACAGGACATGGATGGCAGTGCTGGAGCCAGGCACAGAGGGAAGATCCCGAGGGAGAGTGAAGGTGCTGCCTTGCGGGTCACTCCATGTGGGGGCTTTCAGGTAATCCTGTGGCCATGCTTCCCTTGCCTTGGGCACTGCTGTGTCTGGCACTTTTGGCAGGAGCTGGTCCAGCCGTGGGTCATCCCTGCAGTCTGATGGGTCTGGGCCAGAGTGCTGTGGTGTATGAAGGGTTCAGATAGGAGCTCTTGGAGTAACGGAATGTCAGTGATGTGTGTGCACTCGTCCCTGTGGTTGCTTGCAGTGACCTCAGAAGAGGCTTTGCCAGGCAGACAACTACTAGCACACTCAGCAGAGGCTGCAAATGATAAATCACAAGCGGGTGCATGCTGTTTGACCAGTGCCAGCCCCATAGCTCTCAGCACCCCTGTACAGGGGATGTGCTTGTTGGCAGGAGGGCGAGGAGGAGAGTGCAGGAGCTGCGGCTGCTTGTCACTGCTCCATCTCTGCTGACAGTGGGGAGGGGAGATAGAGCCAGGGAGCTGGGACTGATGGCCACTGTGCTGTCTGGCCTGAGCATACCCTTTTTGGCTCCTGCTGCCCTCCCTCACACTTCTGCTTCCCGCAGCAAGTGTGTCTCCCTTGGGCTGGGTGCTGCTCTGGGGTCTGAGAATGCAGAGGTAGACTCGTCCTGTCCTGCTTGCCAGGCGCCTTCTGAGAAGGAGCTTGAGGAATTGGTTAAAACCCTGTGCCAGCCGGAGCTACCCACAGAGCTCGTGCAGTAGCAGCTCACAGAGGGCCTTGAGATACTGCAGTGCCCCTCTCTAGCTATGCCCAGCTCTCGAGGGCTTGGGTGGCTAGGCTGCCACCAGGCTGTGTGTGGTCACAGTCTTTCAGAAGGAACCCTGCCAGGGAGCAGCGCACAGCATTAGGCCTGTGCTGGGGAGCACAGCTGAGCTGAACTGAGCTAGACAGAGCACTAGACCCAGCCCCCAGTCCTGGGCAGGATGGACCGCCCCATGCCTTCATTGCCTTGATTGGTCAAGGGAGGCTAAAAAGAACTCTCCCTGGTGGGGCAGTTGTGAGGGCAAAGCCCCTCGAGTAGAACCTGCTGTACACTCAAGACCTGGGCCTGGGCTGGTGAGGTGTTCCCGTAGTGCAGTACCTGCCTGACCAGTGGGAGGTCCTAAGTCTGATTCCTGGTACCAAAAAACAAACCACCTGGGGCCTACTCCTGGGAATATCATGGGAAAGTTGGCCTGGACTTGAGTATTGCACCTTCACTAAGGAGTCTCCACCAGCCCCAGTGGGGAGGGACAGGTTGTGGCGGGTTGAAGCAGGGTCCCCAGCCTCCACAAGGACCATGACCTCCACAGCAGCCCCAAAGCCTGTGTCCTGGGCTGGTTCCTGTGGCTATACCTGTGCCACCTCCCACATAGCACCTCTTTTTGCCTGCTTTAGAGCCCTGGGAGGTGCAGGGAAGGCCAGGCCCAAGAGAGGTTAACTGATACCTGTCTGCCCAGAGCCCTCAGCTCCAGTGAGCAGCACCTTCTGGGATCTACTACAGCCCATAGGACCCCAGGGCCTGGAGATTGTCAGGCACCTGGGCTGGTGGCTTCAGTGTCCTGGGGGGCCTTGCCCTTGCCTGGGTCCTCTGCAGCTTAGGCCAGGGGCAGCCGTGACCTCTCATTGCCACCTTATGATAACTTCTGCATAGGGGGCCTTAGAGGACTCGCTTGCCTGAGCAGGCATCAGAGCTGGGTGCTACCTTCCTTGTGCCTCAGAAGGACCAATATCTAGCCTCCCCAGAGCAGTCTCCTGGGAACCTCTGAAGGTTGGGGTTTCCAGAGCTATGCAGGAGACATGCAAGTGCAGGCCAGGTGGAGAGTGAGGGGCTTCCTGGATGTGTGTGACCAGCCTGCGTGAGCCTCCTTTCTGTGGTCCGTCTGCCTGGTCAAACCTTGAGTCTCGCTCCTCTCCCTGTTCTGCAGAGGTGCTGCACATGCAGCAGTGTGGTGCTGTCCGGGCTGCCTCTGGTGTGACTGACCCCTGTTGCCTGTTGCTCCTGCCCCCACACTCATGAGCAACACCCCCAGGATGGTGTCTGCCTCCCTGCCCATATGTCTGTCCTGGAGAACACAGACCCGACGATCTTTCTCCTCCTATGTCCACAGGGATGTGTGTTTAGCTCTCGTGTTTTTTCCTTTACAACTCACTAAGCAGCGTGGCCAAAGAATTTTTTATTGTGTCGTGATTGTGTCAAGTGCACCTGGCTGGCAGGCCTTTTAGTGGTGATACAAACTCTCCAGAGGGTTGGGGAGAGTTACCTTTGCAGTGAGAAGGCAACGAGAATGTGTTTCACAACTGTGTCTTAATGGAATTTCCCCTCTCCCTCTTTTCCCTTCTCCATTCACAATGACTAAGAATGTTATACAAATGCCAAGGGAGAGAATGGTATAGAAGAATATCCAGATGGTAAAGAAATACCCAGTAATGAAGAGCATCTGTTAGATTTTAATAGGGTAAGTGGATTGTTCCCCTCCTTGTTACTAACAGAAATGGCCACTCCTGCTGTGTTTTATCTAGTCACATGCCTGCTCAAGTCACCAGCTCTGTAGGCCGAGGGCAGGGACTCCCACTGGCCCTTCCACAGCCAGGGTTTCCTTACAGGCTCCCCGTACCCCCTGGCCTTTCTTTCCCACTGCGGCCTCTGTGGAATGCACAGCTGACCCTGCACCCCTCCTCCTGGCCTCGGAGTGCACCACATTGAGTGCTGTGCTTGCCGCTATCCCCACATCTGGGACACACACTACCCTCCCTGTGGCCCACCACATGGTGGCAATGAGTATGGCCACATCCACAACTCACTATTTGCCTTGGGCCACCTCAGGAGCGTCTGGAGGGCAGCATGGGCAGATTGGGTTGGGCACAGCCTTCACCAGGCAGGTGGTCCCACGATGGGCGCTCATGAAGCTCTATTGGCTTCCTGGTTCTGATTATCCATGTAACAGCTGTGCTCCGGAGCACCCTGTGGTGCTGGTGGTGCCGGCACCCTTGGCTCCTCTCTGGGCAAGTGACTCCTGCCATCCCACTCAGCCTCTAGTCCTGACTTGCTTCTTTTGTCAGAGGCCACCTGCCACCCCCCATCCTCTGCCTCATGCAGACTGTCACCCCACTCCTCTCGACAGTAGCCAGGCTTTCCTTCCCCTTCTGCTTGTCCTTCCTGGGCTTCTCCAGCCCATGAAATAGTGGCTTGATGCTGCCTGTGCGCTTGCAAGTGCAGCCTGGCTTGCTCAGCCTGCAGAGTAGACCACCAAGCCCCCTGAGAGAGTGCAGGGACTCCGGTGAGCGTACCCAGGCTGTGAGCCACGGTCTGAGGCTAGGCCCCCATTCCTGCCCGCTGTGCTCGTGGTAGACTCCTGCTGGACCTCTGGCCTGTGTGTTCTGCCGCCCCCCTCCTCCCCCCCGGCCTCACACCCCTCTTGGCGCGCCTCACTCTGGCTTTGCTGTGCTCTCGCCCCAGTTCTTCATGGAGCAGTGCTGCCATATGGAGATGGGGTGGGGCTGCTGCCAGTCTCAGAAGTGGGTTGGGAAGGCGAACTGCTGTGGTTGGTAGGGGCTGCTACCCACACTCCTGTCCTACAGTTCAGAGGTGCTTACCAGGTGACATGGGAAACTGCAGCCAAGAAAGGGTTTGCCCTCCAAAGCATTCAGCGAGGGCAGGACTCCATGTCACAGCAGCTGTGAGGCGGCTGTGCATGCCAGCCCTTCTGTCTCTGTCGGAAGCACTGCTTCCTGCCACGCACGTGGTCATCTGCAGTCCGGGCTTGTGTGTGTTGGTTTGCCTGTCTGTCTCCTATCATGGGCTGTGAGCCCAGGTGGGAGTGTCCACATGCGTGCTCCCAACGGAGGGAGTCCTGTGTCCGCACTGTCGCTGTCCTGCAGCAGGAGTCTGGCGGAACATGGAAACCTTCCTTTAGCCTGGTCTGGCATGACCACACATGTCCAGGTGCCTGGACAGCATAGGTGGGATGTGGAGCCCTTCAGGCCATAGGGAGGGACAGTGGTTTGCTGTGCAGCAGGCAGCTCTCCATGGCTCTCCTCTCCACAGGAGTGCACCACAGCCCTTGTGCCTTCTCTTCGGGAAGGGCGGAGTGTCACAGTTCCTTGCAGGAGGACTCTGAGTTCCTGTTGTGTGAAACTGTGCCTTGCCTTGCAGGTGTCTTCTGTCTGTGAGGCACGGTGCACCGGAGGGAGCAGGCCTGGGGCCCAGGCAAACGGCCTCCACAGGAAGACGCGCTCCAGTGCCAGCTCCGACCCTGGAGACTCATGCTCTGACGGCAGTGGCGAGTGGGTGGGCGCTCGTGAGGAGGCGCTCTTCTCCCGGACTCACCTCTGACCTTGCACCTGGTGCGAGGGTTTTCTAAACACTGTGTGATGGGAAACTGCCCCGTTGGGAGGCCTGTTCATCTAAAGCAACAACATAGGTTTCTTCGAATAACTGATTCTGATCTGTGATTCTCTTTCTTCTTGCTTATTTTAGCATTGAGGACAGCTATCCTGTTGAAGACTTCTTTCCCAGCTGTGCATTCTTGGCTATTGAATAGACTAGCTGTGCTGTCCGATCCAGAATGGGTGTGCATGTGCTCGTCCTAGAGGTGTCGCTGCTCTTGCCTCGTAGCTGCAGGCCGCTCCCTTGCACTGTGATGACATCACTGTCATTTGTCAGCACTGCGGTGCTGGCGCCACTTCTGCTGTTCAGAGACTTCAGCTTCGGAACATGTAGCTCTGTTCTCTAAGCACTGGGAGATCATTGTCACCCTGCAGTGGGTCGGTCCTTTCTGGAGGTGGGAGGGAAGTGTGGGTGATTCACCACCTCCAACACCCATCCCAACACCCCACCCCCACATCTCCGTGCAGTGGAATTTCGCGAACCTGAAAGTAAGAGCCGCAAGGGTGTACGTGCATTTAGAGATGTTCAGAATGCTGTGTTTTCTACCCTAAGATTTCCCCCTGAAGTATCATGAGATGCTATGGTGGGTGTGTTTCTTGCTCACTGAGGGTGCCAAGGATTCAGGGTGTGAGATGGGGATGCCTGCCCCACCTGCCCGGTGGCTGTCCCAGTGTGTCCACACTGAAATGCAGGCAAGGCTCTCTGTGGAGTTGTGAACCTGGGGCAGGACCTTGGTTGCGGATTGTGGCTTTTCCAGTGACTGTTGAATTACAGTCTCCAAAACTTGAAATGGTGAGCATTGGATGCCGGATAATGGGCCTGTCACCCTCCAGAAACCTTGGCTGCTGCAGCTGGCTGCTCGTGTGGTGTGGTTTGGTGTGATGTAGCTGCTCTTGCCCTTGTCGGACAGGATGTGCTGGGAAGTTCTGTGTGCTGTGGGCAGGCTGGCTAGATTACTTCTCTGGTGGCCCCACCGTCGCTGTTCTGGTTGTCACCGTGTGTCTCGGTAACCCTGGGAAGTCGGTCTGTCTTTTGCTTTCGTACCTTCGCCTCCTCAAGCTCTTGTGATACTGCAGTGGGGCCGCGCCAGGAGGGGCCAGCTCGGCAAAACCTAAACATTTTAAGTGGTTCTTTTTAATCAACATCCTTTTAGAAAGCATCTAATCCATGCAGTCAGTTGCGTTGTCTGTAACCTCAGGAATGGCAGAGAAGCCTGCCGCGCCCAGGCAGACTCAGCAGTGGTCTCCCGGGCAACGAGCTGAACTGCCCGTGGTTCTGTGGTTTGCTTCGAGTCTTTGAGTTTGTCTCCTTTTTCTCAACTGGTAGCGCAGAAAGTGCTGCAAAGGCTGTGGGTGCTTGAGGTTCCATGTTGTCACACTTCTCCCTGAGCATCTGGGCTCCGTCCCATTGCTTCTTAGAGTTTGCTTTTATACCTATATCTTTGACACTTTACAGTGTGTGTGTGTGTGTGTGTGTGTGCGCATGTGCGTGTGCGCATGTGTGTGCGTGTGCACCAGTAAGTTTTTGTGTTGCTGTTATTTATTTACAGACATCAGATAAGTCGTTACGTATTTTTCTTTCTTCTGGAGCTTCCTAAAAACTGGTTAGCATCTGCACTGAGCTATGATGTAATAGCAAAGGCGAAACAGAAGTGGAGGTTGTGAGTTCCTAGCATCGCTGCGGCGACAGTTACCCTGGAAGTCGCTGCTGGCGAAGCAGAGGCCAGATGAGCAGGCTTGAGACGCAGCCTGAGCTGAGAGGCTTCACCCGGAGGGAGGGCTACGGCGGCCACACATGGACCTGCCAAGGGCGGGCGGGGTGGAGGAGGAACGCACCAAGGGATGACTGTGCTGATTTGTTTTCATAATTAAGCGGCTAAAGCTCAAAGACTTTCAGCAACAGTTGAAAGTGTGGTTTTTAGTTTTTGTGAATGGATGATTACAAAATGCATTTTTAAAAAAAGTTGGCAAACGCTGAAATGCACTGTGGTGTGAAGCGCATTGCATATCCGTAGCACTGAAGTATCAGTTTCCATTCCTGGGCTGAGATTTTTTTTTCCCGTGGTTGTATTGTTCTGATTTCACGTACACCAGAATAACAGATTTTTTGTTTCTTGTGGAGTTAACACCAAATAAAAAAAATTTAAAAAAAAGTTTATTGTTCTTGTTTCTCATAGTAGAGACCGCCTTATGAAGACCGCGACTGTGTATTCTGAAGGCGCTAGAGCGCACCTCAGCCAGGCAGCAGCCCACGCAGGCCACGCCACAGCCGGGCCACTTGTATCTGCCACACACAGCACCGAGCCCTCGCTGGCTCTGAGCTTCCTCTTTCTCATTTGCATCTGAAAAAAATCCTTCCATCTTTCACTATGATGTTCATTTCTTTTTTTTTTTTGTGGAACCGAGGATTGAACTCAGGCCCTTGCACTTGCCAGGGAAGCACTTATTCCACTGAGCCATCTCCCCGGCCCTATGTTCATTTCTAAGAGAAGCTAGGGTGTGTCAAGAAGGGCAAGGGAAGAGAAAGCTCAGCCGCCCCTTCGTCACCCTGGCCTGTCTGGGCTTGGTGGGTGTGAATACGTCACAGGGAAGGTTGCACCACTGCCATTCCTGTGTGCTGTGACCACAGGGTGGTAGCAGAGGAGTTGTACCAGGACCTCCTGCCCCTGGCCTGGCCACTGCCATGCAGGGACGTCCTGGCAGTGCAGGCCGTAGGCAGGAAGTCTCCTGTGCTGCGTAGGGCAGAGCTTTCCTCCCCACTCTGGAAGCCAGTGCAGAGCTCTTCAGATGAGTGCCTGCCTACCTGCCTGCCTGCCTGCCTGCGTGCCCTGTGGAACAGGAGGAAGGCATTCCACAGAGAATGGCTTGCTTGTCTTTGTGGTCTCTGGGACTCAGTGGGTGCATTCTTACTGTTCTTCCCTTTACAGTACAAAACCACTTCCTCTGGGCACAGTGGCACACACCTGTAACGCAACCACTTGTGAGGCTGAGGCAAGAGGATCGTAGTGAACTGAAGCCAGCTTGGGGTATGTTGTGAGCTCAAGGCCAGCCTGGACTGTATAGTGAGACTTCAGAGAAAACCACTGTCCCTCGTCTTGCTAGCACCTGTGGACTTCGTGCAGAGCTCAGTTTTGATTTAGTAGATGTACTCCAGACTCATTTTGTCAGTGTCCCACTCTTTCAGTTACCTGTGTTGATTTTCTCTGAGTAGCTCCAGTGTGGCTCCTCTTTTGTTTGGCCATGTTGCATGAGTCTGCAGAGTTTGTTTTTTAATATGCTGGGGATCGAGCCCTGAGCCATATTCCAGCCCCAGAGTTCATTTTTGAGGCATATGTATTATGCACAAGGGATGAGGCTTATAGATTTGGGCTTTTCCCCCCGGGTGCTCAGGTACCCCTGTAGTATTTTCTATGAAGTCCTCCCCCACCACCCATGGACATGAAGTAACATACTGTATTGGTGTGCCTTTCACTGGCTCGTGTGCTTTGAGATCTAGAGAGGAAGGGAGTCTCACCCCAAGGGAGCCTGCTGGTGCGGGAGATGTTTCCTGGCCAGTTGGTGGGCAGCGCCATCAGAGCAGAGGTTAGCCTGCTCTAGTGCCTAACCCAGTTGGCACAGGCCGTGGCTCTCCTTGCTGGCAGCAGAACCTGTGCTGGAGACGCCTTCATGGTGGGCTTTATCCCACAGAAGGTGCCTGAGGTCAGGAGCTGCCTTCTGCTCTGATCATCACACATGCCATCCACATGGTTCCCATACTGTCACAGTAGGGTTTTGAGGTGGCTGTCACCTAGCAGTTGGGCCTTGCCCTGGGAGTTCTCATGTCAGCAGCTTCAGGTTCCGTAGAATAGGTGGGGTAGGAAGGATTCTGTCACGCCCAGAGCTCAGCCATTGTTCTCCCCACTGGTGTAGCTATGTTGCCACTGCAGGCACCACCCAGCAGGAACTGGCATGCATCAGTGGCTGCGCGGTGCCCAGGTCCTGCCTGCATCTGCTCAGAAGTCCAGGCACTGAAAGAATGCCCAGGCCTGACTTCTCAAAGATAGCAATGCAGGCAATCTCTAGCACTGTTACAGGCACTGAGACAAGAAGCCAGTGTTGCTTTGGCCTGCTGCTGCCTCACACCCTGGGCATGGTTGGTTAATAGCAATCTCAGGGATCCTCCCACAGTCAGATAGGCAGAGACTGGTAATGCTGCCATCTCCTAACAGGGCAGCACTGACAGTACCCGCCTGCACCTGCTGTACTCACCACAGGCAAGGTACTCTACACTGTGCTGGTGATTGACTGCTCCCCTACTTTCTGCAGCTGGGACTGAATTTAGAGCCTTTATGCTGAGTTACATCCTCAGTCCTTTTAGGTTTTGAGACAGGGTCTCACCAATTGCCCAGATCGGGGATTGAAGTAGCGATACTCCTGCCTTGCCCCGGGATGTTGGGATTTGTAGGCCTTGGTCACCACACCTGGCTCAGCTGCCCCCCTTGCAGGTGCTCTTCGGGTGCTTGCTGGAGTCCATGGACCCTACCTGTGATCAATGTGGGCCCTGCTTCTGCCAGGCAGCCTCTTCCTTACCCCTGGGTGAGCAGATTCCTACCCACTGACATAGTCATTTACAAGATCCAGAACAGTGTCCCTGGTAGGAGTGAAGATTGTGAAAGGACCTTTGTCCTAGGATTGATGAGATGGCCTTCCCCAGAGTCACTGGAGCACAAAGGGCAGGGAGACCTGGCCCTCTCCCCAGACTGAGGAGACCCTGTGCTCCCTGCAGTTTGCCAGCCCCTGACAGGAAGTGCAGATTAGAAATGCAAAAAATGTTGCCAGGGGCTTCCGTAACTCAGGAAAAAATCACAGCTTTGTGGTGATAGAGTCCTTCCGGAACACAGGCTAGGTCCGTGCCCTTGGTTCCCACAGAGGTCATACTCCACTAGGCACTGCCAGGATGCTGGCCACAATCCCGTGACCATCATGGGACTGGCTCAGGCCTGCCACCTGGAGCGAAGGCACAGCATACTACCCCTTTTGGGCCACAGCTCCCAGGAGTGCCGGACTGGAGTAGCACAGAGCTAGATCCACCCATCGGAGCCGACACGCCTGTGGGGAGAAAGGGATGACTGGGTGAGGCTGCACGTCCAGGCTGAGGGCGCCTTCCATGTTGCTCCTCAGAGCAGGCTGAGGCCAGGCCCCCTGGGGGCTTGTGCTTGCAAGTGGGCCTTGATGCTCTTCCTCTGGTGACTTCAAGAACACATTGGTTAGAGCCTTTTGCCACTAGCGGCCCCGTCCAAGGCTGGCAGACCAGCTGGCTGCTGGACACATGGGCCACACCCAGCTGAAGCTTTCTGTGCATACTGTGAACCCCTGCACCCTAGGGACTGGAGCCTGAGTCCTGGATGGGGTCATCCCCTGTGGTGCCAGGCCCAGTCTGTCCAACTCTGACCCAGGCTGGCATGCCCATCGTCTTGGCAGAGTCGAAAGAACTCCTGGGAGCACGCTGGGGTGAGCAGGGGTGCTCTTGGGCCCTTGGTGCCCATTGCAGCCCCCACACTGGCCAGCTCATATGCCCACCCTGCTGCCCCTCCCTCCAGGGCACTGAGCCAAATGTGGACTTGAGCCTGAGGCCCTGCTGTGTGCCAGCCTGCCAAGGCCCTTCTCCCTGGAGGCACAGGCCAGCCACCTGTGGAGTAGTGTCTCCCCACTGCACAACCTGACCCTGTACCAAAGCTGGTGCCTCTTGTCAAGGGCCTCAGGCCATTCTCCAAGGCTTTTCTTAGGGTGAAGTTCCTAGTAGTCACAGATGTCACACATAATCCCACATCCTCCCACAAACTGCAGACTTTGAGTTGGTGATAACAGGAGACCAGGGCAGCTGGCCTATGCTGGGAAATGGGCACTGTTTCCCCAGGCCTCACTGTCGCCACAGAGTGACCACAGAGGCGGACATTGCTCAGGCTGGGGACCCTGCCTGATGACATGAGTCATCCACGGCAGAGGCCGAGTCCCTACCACGTGCTCTTGCTTCACAAATAAGCTGGTCGCGGGGCCCACCCTTGCACCCCAAACTTGCCTACAGTCCTGGGTGTCTTCATGCTGCTGAGCAGGAGTCTCACCCTTGGTCTCCCCAGCTGTGAGATCTGGGATGGGTTACTTCTTGGCCAGCGAAGCCTCTGCCCCAGGTTAAATGTGGCAGGAGCCTGTCCCTGGGTATTCAGTGCCCGCACAGCAAGAGGTGCCAGGCACGAGGGTGCCCTGTACCCTTCCTGACACAGGTAAGGCCTCCTTCAGACCCCAGGGAGAAGTCTCTAGATCCCATGTGTGGCCGCAAAGGTGTTGCCGGTGTTGGCTCTGGGAATGCTGACCACTGATGTGGCCAGTGTGACCTAGGTCTGAGTCAGCGGTGAAACAGTTGAATGACAAGGCGTCCACTGTGGCAGCTCAGCAGCGCCGGGCACTCAGAGGTAGCAAGCAGGGTCTGCACACATTCACCCATTCATGCAATACACATCTTGAGAGCCTAGTGTGTGCTGGGCCCTAAACCTCAAGCCAGCGATGCTTTGTTCTCCTAAGCCCATTAAGCATGTTACAGCCAGGGATATAGCTCAGGCGCACAGGTGCCTGCCTGGCAAGTTCAGTGTCTAGAGTTTAATTCCCAGTACCAAAAATACCCAGCACAGTTAAGCACGTAGCTTCAGAAAGAATGGCTGCCGCTGAGGAGTGAGTAGTACTTGCTGGAGCAGCTGTGTGCCCGTGCTCAGGCAGCACGGGTCAGAGCAGCAGAGCCTTGGCAGCAGCCTGCGCAGCCGCCCACAGGTGATGGATGAAGTGCTGACACGATGCCGCGGAGCCCTGCTCTGCTATAAAGAAGGGCCAGCGGGCCACTGTAGGGAGGTAGGTGCACCTCGAGACCATGACGTTAGAAGTGGGTCAGACTCAGGCTGGAATGTCCCATGGCTTCTCTTGGATGGAAACCCAAAGACTAGCTAGAGCAAAATAAGAGATAGGACGAAGGGAGAGAGGGCTTTGGCAAGTGTTCAGGAAGGGGACCGAGGTGGCAGGAGGACCACCAGAGTAACCTGTGTCACACAGGCACCAGCCCAGAGGAGGCTGGCCCGTGCATGCTGTGACCGTGGACCATGAAGACGA